AATTGTTCCCGGAACAAAATAGATTTGTTCCCGGAACAAAATAGATTTGTTCCCGGAACTAAATATATTTGTTCCCGGAACAAAATCCATTTTTTAAATAAAATTATATTAGATTGATTTCAACCATATAAATTAAATTGATTGAGTTCGAAATAAAAGTAAATTAGATTGTTTTGAAATATATTTGTTCCCGGAACAAAATAGCTTTGTTCCCGGAACAAATTCCAATTTTTAAATAAATCTATATTAGATTGATTTCAACCATATGAATTAAATTGATTGAGTTCGAAATAAAAGTAAATTAGATTGTTTTGAAATATAATTGTTCCCAGAACAAAATCTAATTTTTAAATAAAACTATATTAGATTGATTTCAACCATATGAATTAAATTGATTGAGTTCGAAATAAAAGTAAATTAGATTGTTTTGAAATATATTTCTTCCCGGAACAAAATGGATTTGTTCCCGGAACAAAATAGATTTGTTCCCAGAACAAAATAGATTTGTTCCCAGAACAAAATAGATTTGTTCCCGGAACAAAATCTAATTGTTCCCGGAACAAAATAGATTTGTTTCCGTAACAAAATCTAATTGTTCGCAGAACAAAATCCAATTTTTAAATAAAACTATATTAGATTGATTTCAACCATATGAATTAAATTGATTAAGTTCGAAATAAAAGTAAATTAGATTGTTTTGAAATAAATTTGTTCCCAGAACAAATATATTGTTCCCGGAACAAATTATAATTGTTCCCGGAACAAAATAGATTTGTTCCCGGAACAAAATAGATTTGTTCCCGGAACAAAATAGATTTGTTCCCGGAACAAAATAGATTTGTTCCCGGAACAAAATGGATTTCTGGGAACAAATCTATTCGAAATAGATACTGCTCATCAAATGATCGCTATAGCCTTCGTTGTGTGTTTGGAGCACTTCGTGCGCTGACGAAGATACGAAGCACTATAATGATGTGCTGCATCAATGCTGGTATTTGTGAACGCTTGCTTTGTCACTCATAATACCTTCTTTAAGGAATCCACACATTACTGCCCGTATGAATGATTCAAAGTCCACTGCCTTTCATGAATTGTCCGTCCGTCCATCCAACATGTACGTCTGTGGTTATTTTTTATATTCGAATCGCTGTCTACTCATTTATATCCACTTCCATGAATTGTCCGGACATGTCCGTCCGTCCAACATATCAGTCCGTTTAATGTTCGATCGAATTCTTAGGGTGTCCGTCCATCCGCCAAAAAGGACCATGGACAGTCTGTGAACAGTCCGTCCGAAATGAATTGTCCGTTCACCAAAAATATTGGACGGACAGACGGACATTTCGTCCGTTGGGGGACGTTTGACCGCTAGCCATTCTTTGGTTTACAGGTTGCAGGGATTTGGTCGAACTTCTCATCAATCATGGGGCTGATGTAAATGCGACAGACGTAAATAAATTGACACCGCTCCATGTAGCTGCAGAATGCGGTAATAAATAGTCCAAACAATTTAAATTGTAAACTTTTCCAATAACGTTGGTTATTATCTTACTTCTTTTCCAGGCGCATTGGATATTGTGAAGCTTCTGATCAGTAAACGGGTGGATGTTAATGCAGAGAATATAAATAAATTAACGCCACTCCATTTCGCGTCCCAAAATGGTAATTGATTGTTTGGATAATTCTATAAATCACAGCAATGAAACGACAACAACAATGACACGTATTTTAATGTCAAGATTTTAGTCAGAATGGTGATAGTAGTTTATAGACATTAGTGATAGTATTTTGAAATACACTTTGTAAGTCATTTTCATCGTATATTTACAAATTCGATCTAGTTCACATTGACGGTTGCAAATATTCTTCAAATCATTTATGTCCACTGGACATGGACTGTGCGTTTCTTCTGTTACATGTATGTTATAATAGACAAGTATAGAAACACGGCGTCGATCAAATAAATTTAAAAATCCCATCACCACTGTCGCCGCCATCTAGCTCATTAGTAGGGACTTCATTGCTGTGCTATAAATTTCTATGTTTATTTGATTGACGTTTTAGGCAATGTGGATGTTGCTGAATTTCTCATCGAAAAGGGGGCTAATGTTCATGCAAAAGATGACAAAGAATGGACACCGCTCCATTTCGCAGCAAAAAACGGTAACAGTACAAATAGTTTCCAGAACCACAGTCACTTTTAAGTTTCACTGCTTAAAGATAGAGGCTAGATAATTAAATCTTTAACAATTGGATGAAGTTTCATTGATGAATGTTTCAGGTCAAACGGAAGTGATTAAAATTCTAATTAGGAATGGGGCCCAAATAGATGCAATAAATTCAGAAGGAAATACGCCACTTGACTCGGCGTGTAAAAAAGGTAAGTGTGAAGCGGTGTGAGGTGGGGACAAACTGAGGTGCAGCAACCGTGAGGTGCCCACTGAACTGAACCGTTCATGTTCGTTCGGTTCATTCG